AAACACTTCTTTACAATACAGGCTGTTTTATGTGCGTGGCCAGTGCGGAGGCTATATAACAAGATTCCAGGAATAACCAAAGAGTATTTCAGTGTGTGTTTAAATAAAAGTGAGAGAATTTTAAGTGACAACCACAGGAACTACGTCTTGTGATTTGAAGACTGTGTTTGTGTGTAATACTAGGAGCGTGTGATCCAGTGAGACCGTGAGACTAGGGAAGACTGGGAATCCTAGTGTGCATGGAACAGTGAATTATGAAGCGTGTGACTCAGCAATAGTGCTGTAATTTGAGCGTAATTAAGAGAGGTTGTAACCAAGGTGTTATTAATCCCAATCATCCAAACTAGAACCCGTCATTTCATAACGCGTACCAGCCTACACGTGATAATATTTTTTACTATTGCTCATTTTGTTAACAGCTCAATGGAGGTTACTTTTCTAACAGTCCTCATATGAGAATGCATGGTAATCCACTAACCAAAAACAAAGACAGAAATATCTGATTTTAAATCTTCAAAACAACATATGGAGTGTAAATAATTTATCAATAATTGTAAACTAGTATTTAATGTAAATTATACAGACATGGGATTCAACTATGGCTGGATGGTATCAAAGTTTTATGTTTACAATACCAGAAAATAATTACATCTCTGTTCTTCATCAATAATATATTTGTGTAACAATGGGCCAACTAGCCCCAGTGTTTCATACAACCTTTACTCTTCATACAAACAAAACCCAACAGTTTGTTTTGGTTTCCTCATTGTTTGCTGTGGAGAAATGTGCCTAAGGAAAACTATATATTCACCATCAGCAGCAGCTGCAGAAGTGAACATGGGAAGAACGCTTGCCATAAAAAGGTTATGGAAGGAAAACACTAAACAGAAAAGTTAAAGTGTGTGTATCTTTCCACAGACAAAGAATATTATGCCATCCTTTATGAACTCTATAGCTCTGCATTATCAAAATTACAAAATCTGCTGTCCCTGGTCCCCACATCTGTATTATTTATTTAAGTGGAAATATATCAAGCAAAGAGGTCTCTTTTTTAAATTTAGAGGGCTGAAATTACAGATTACATAATACCACAAAATTCATCCTACAGAAAAACGTTCCGTTTTGAAAGTTTAGGGCAGTGTCCAAATAATGTCACAATAAACAAGCAGGTATAGTTACATCTGGTGGAGATAAAGAGGGAGGGGAAAGTAAGCTTACTTGACCAAGGTACAATGATGCACTTTCAGCTGCCTGTTATTGGTAGTCCTGCATGCTTTACTCCAATGACTAGGACAAAGTACATGTAAGGGCTCACATCTTACAAAAGCTTCAAAAATTTTAAAAATATACCTATAGAGTTCTTTTATTCATCAAATATGGGAACCATTTTCCCATCACGGAACACATTTCATGGTCGTTCACTAAGTAAAAGTATAAATATTATTACAAAGATAATTATTAATTATTTGATTTCATGTTACAAAGTTTATACATACATCATTTATATACACAGTAAAATGAAGAGACTGGGCTATGCATTCCCATTAAAATAATATTACGGAACAATTTTTCTTAACAGCCAGTTAAAATATGCCGCCTTCTAGAAATGTCTTTATTACAGATTACAAAATAAAAACCATAAATATTTACATTTAAAGTTTTTATAATAAAGACATTTAAACTGTATTTGATGGAGGCACTGATAAAAGTCCATTATTCATCAATTGTAATGTTAATTTATACAAAGCTTCTCATGGCATTGGAACAGGGGAGGCTGGGATTAACAAGCACAAAGCTCCGTTAACAAACTATAAACGTAATCCTGATCCATTCACACATAAAGTTCCAAATCATTCCATTATTATTGTTACATACCATATTATATACATCTTTCAGAAAATGGAATGCCACATTTTGTGGAATGTACATTTCTCATAATAATAATTATAATAAAAAAGAGGCATTCATTCCAAACTACTTTGCCTCAACAGTATAAAACTTGAGCTAAACTCTTTATAGTTTCTTAACCTCTGTATATATAGCAAATATACAATAATAAATAAGACTGGAGAGGGAAAAAATATCAACCACTCCTTGGGAACATAATCCATCTGACACTTTGGTTTAAATAAAGGGCAAGCGTCTGCCAGTTTCACCATTTTTTCAAGGCGAGTGGCTTCAAAGCGGACGTTATATGTGAACATTGCTTATATGTAACTAGAGAAGCCAAATACATTCTTATGATTCTTAATAATCTGAATAATCTTGATGGTTTATACCACTGGTAATATTATGACTAAAAATTTCAGCCCCACTTATAATTCCATCATACCAGTATAAATAGATTAATGAGTTTTCAATTAGGTTGCTCTGGACTATTTCAACATTTTCTTTTGGCAATGATTTTACTGCAGCAGCTTGCTGCCTTTGTACTAAGATATATTTACTGATATGTCACGGTGAGAAGAATTGTATCTCTGGTATAATACCATGTAGTCAGACGAAAGTCAATCAACGTTTTGGATGAACATGTTTCCTCCACCTTCACGACTGAAGACTAAATTAAGCATGAAACCAGTGTGAAGCAGGTGGCTAGTACAGTGTTTGCCTTTCAATAGACTACTCTGCGTTGCATCCCAGAAGATATCTCTTAATAACCATTGCCGTGAGAACTTCAAATCCTTCATCATCATGAGATTTCAGTAGCTTTCAATACGCCTACTGCAGCACAAAAATTAAACCCCTCTAAAACAACATTTCAAATTTTGACTGCTGCATAGGTTCACTTCTTATTTTAAAATTCCTATTAAAAAGCCCTCATTTTACAGATTTAAATTTCAAACAGCTTCTGATGGGACATTTATTCCTCCCTTCACATACATACCAATCTTCATAGACATAATTACTTCACGTAATTACTTTTTCATGTTCACAGGTGAAACATATTCAAAATAAAGACAAGAAAATGATTTAGTTAACTTATGCACACATAATGAAATCTTTCTTCACTCTGCTCTATATGCTACCATCTACAGATTTACTGATAATGATTAGAAGTTATTAATTACATTATGCCAGTGCTCTACTTCTGTGCACATCCGCAAGTTTTGGTTCCCATTTCCTGGATTTATTTTCTTAAGTTTTCCACCACTGCCATGTTTAAAATTTTTAACACGAAGAAGTCTTGTACAATAACAGGATATAGGTTAATGATCTACCTACATTTGTACCAAATTTCACATTTATAGCCATAACAATTCATCAGTTGCTATCATCAAACTGAAACCCAAATACTCCAGTACAACACAGATTTCTTATTTCCAACTGTGGCTTTGAAAATCAATGTACAAGCTGTATTCAGGTTTAATGTTTATGGTATTTACAGTCCTCACTAAAATTTAAATTCTGGCAATGGGACTTATGTGGCAATGATACTGTGTAGTCAATACGTTTGCAAGTTTCATCTCACATGTCTGGGTAAGTAGTGTGTGTGATATGTAAGTAGTTTACTTTGAAATAGCAATGTATAATGTAACTATGGAATGCTATCAATGCCAAACAGGGTTTCAGACATAATGTATATGACATGATGGTACCAAATGGTTTCATCAAAGCATTACAAAATAAAACAACAAAAATAAATGGCCTGAACCTGTACCTGAGAGAACAGTACTTGTGTGCCTTGTGACCAACAGGTTAGCAGTTTAGTTCTTGAAGTTGCATGTGTTAACATAAAAAAACACTATGTGCACTATTCTGTGTGTTTGTTGTAACACACAATAATAGACATACAATATAATCTATATTCAAGAATTTCACAAAAAGTCCACAGTGTTAGAAAAACACCTGATACTTATGAAAAGTCTCCAATCTGTCAAAACTGTTACACTCGTAGTTGGAAGTCAGCTGTATGCACCACAACAATGACAACAATGAAGCAGCATGTGTGATGTCATGAGCTGAGTTTTATGAAGCTTTAAAAAAAAGTAATTCATTACTTAACTTTACTAATGCTTTATTCTTCCAGTAAAGTTTAACATAGTGTATGAGTCTAAGTTCTGAATCCACACTATAAGTACAATATATAAAAATAAATTGTGCCTTATCAGTAGTTGAGTATTTATCCACCTATTACAGCAAAACAGATGAGGCCTGCTTATGCTTCTGTTTACAGATATTTTAAATCTAAAAATCCATATATCTTCTGTTGCAGAAAATTCATAAAATGTGGTGGTTCTTATCCAGAAATTAAAATAGTGGATATAATAAGTGAATGGTATATGCACAAAGTTTCAAGAAAATCTGTCCACTACTTTGAAAGGTGTTAGGGGCTCCATACATGTATGAACCTAATAATACACACTTCTTTTACTTATGAAGACATGTGAGCTGATAACAAACATCTCTCTTCACTTAGGATGTTCACCGTAAGAAAAAATGCTTGAAAATATTCCTTGGAAATCACATGTGTCTGTGTAGCCCATTACAATTTTTCATTAAAATCTAAAAAAAATCTTCAAAGTTTCATTCGTGTTTAGCTACTAAGCTCATAACACACATCACCTACTGTTTAGTATGGGAATACTGATGGCTGTTAACAAGTCTTTCTTTAAGTGTAGTCTTAAACCAAGTGAACGCATTCTTTACTGTCTCCTTCATAAAGTGATATATGATATTCCAGACACTGCAGTCAAAAAATTTACTTTTGTATGTGCAACTACTCACACAAAATATATCCAAAGTGTAGTGGTCTACTGAGAGGATAATTAAAAATTTCCTAATTCTGACAATAACAGGTTGGCTCAGATTAAACAGCCCTAAGAAATACACACCTCAAGAAAAGCTTTGCATCTGAAAATGACACTTGTAGGACAATGCTCAAGTGAGAACCACTACACTGAAGGCACATTCGAAGTAATTAGTTACAATTTTGAAACATTTTACACAGTGTCATCCAAATTTCATGGTATGAGATCACAAACAATGCTTTCTCATTGTAGGTATCTGATGGCTGAAACTTAGAAAGTACAAAGGATAGGGGAATGCAGTTCTAGTGGAAATGAACTGCTCTGGATAAGCCTGAAGCAGCATATCTAAAGTTGCTCTTGGCTGTAACATCAACTTACTAAATTGACTGCATTCTAAGAGATGTGTTTCTGGCGCAAAAGAATCACCTATCACCAAGAGTGTGTCAAAATGAATGCCTAGCAGGAGTCCTGATTTACAAACCAATGCTGCTCAGCATGTCTGTCTGGTCTTTGGAACCCAGAAAGTGTATTATTTTCATATTAATATACCCTGCCCGATGGACATGCCATCCACTGGAAAACTGAATGTCCTGAAAAGAAGTTATGTTTTCATAATTCTTTGCTACAGTGTGTGTGCAATATTGTATTCAGCATAGCACATCATGTGCATTAACTCACGGGCTACCTGCATACAAGTCAAGAACACCCTAACATATAAATACTTTTCACAAGTGGCATCCTCTTGTCTGGACACAGAGTGCTCCCTGCTCTTCAGAGAACGCAAATTTTGTAAAACATTATCCCAAAAATTGAGCCTATAAGATACTTGGCTCCTTGGTCCCCACTGTGACTGTCCCCATCTTCCCCATCATGAATAAAAACCAATTTTTTTAATGTGTAAAACTTCCCAGATATATTCATTGCTCAAAAGAGAGAAGAAATCCAACATCTCGCCCCAAAACACAGCAAACCCTGTGTCTTATGCATGTATTCAGAGAGGTGTAATTTATATTTGGGCTACTATATGCTGGGTCATACTGAACATAAAATCATTATTTAAAATTAAAGGTTCTGGGGGGGGGGATTATTAACAACATGTAAAGACTGAAACCACAAATGTTGAAAGTATTTTTGTAAGTGCTTTTCATTTTTGTTCCATATCACATTTATGAAGTTTCTGAAGTGAGGGCTCCATATAAGGTGTAACAGCTCAGCTACTGACAGGTATATGTCTGCAGGCACAATTTCTACATATAGTACAGCCCTCAAGAGTCCTACAACTGCTAGATATATGTGCTGGAAGTTACATTCATGTTGGGACTCTATGAAATAAAAATCACAATCAATTATATTGTCTAAAACATTCATGATAGTGCCCTATCATCAGACATTGGCACAGATCATTGCACCATTAGTAGAAAGTGTCTATTTTAACACATCATGGGAACCAAACCTTCTGTATCAGAGGTTCCTAAGAACACACAGAAATTTTATTTTGTATGGTTGTCTATTCTGAGATATGACATACCCTCAAAGATGTTTTGACAGACAGTGCCCTAAATACCTTGCAAGTTACATTTTGAATTTCTTATATGGTTGTACATTCACCAGTCCAAAGAAACATCATCCATAATTAAATACATTCACTTCTGTGTTTAAGGAATGTAAGGTACTTGTAGGAAACATGGCTAATGGCTTCATGTGTAATTCTGGCTTTGAAAAAAATTACACCTTCAATATTTCATGTGACTTTATACAGTCAGTAAAGTTGGAAGCAATTTCCAGAAATGTCAAATCTGGTTAGAACACCCTTTCTTTCCAAAGCATCAGCACTATAATATGCAGCTGAAAAGTTTCTCTCTGTTCATAATCAAATTACATCACATAATTTTACTTCTATCATGAGATGTGTGTGAATATGGAAATAAGTATACTACATAAAAGTGATTATATATAAAAAGAAAGCTGTTACCAATATGACCACCCCAGACTGTATTAAAGACCAGGCCAAGACATATTAAGAGAATTTCTTTTTAGTGATGTATATTTATTAAGATTATTTTACTTAACTGAAAATGATTTCAGATAAACAATGAAAGGTCAAATCAAATAACCACTCAATTCTCTTGTGACTAGGTAGCAGAAAAAAGAAAACTGGGATGAATATGCTTTTCAAAATGCTATCAAGATAGTGAAATAATGTCTTGTCCACAAATGCAAGTAAACAGGTTGGACAGCCTAGGAGGATATTCAAGAAACATCTGAAAGAAGACAGAAAAACCTCCTTTGGGTCAAATTGGCAGAAGTGCAAGAACAAGACATCTCTCACATGATAACTCTCTTATGTCAGCTGCATTTGTTTCCTAATTCAAAATGTGTACTATATATGAACAGAAATGGTAAAAGGTAAAGCTATCCCTGTAAGAAGCTGTGAAGGCCCACTGGGTTGTGAGACGTCAAGGATCCCACATTTTCTCTAGACAATCAGATCATAGATGGTGGTAAGGTTGTCAGCCTTATGTGCCAGCTGCCCTTTACCCCCCTTTACTCTGCACCACTAACATTTCTTTCTGTGCATAAAACACTTTGTCAAGTCATTCTATCTCTCTGTTTTCGCATCAGGAGGAAATGTTAACCACCATGTCTTATAAAAACTCTTTGTCAAGTCATTTCACCACTGATTCTTTTTAAAGAACTCTTGACATATTCCCGTCTTGGAAGTGTCCATTATAGTTCTTGGACACTGTCTGTTAACAATGGACTACAGAACTGTTGAAGCTGCTGAGGTCCATGGAAAACATTGTTCCATTAAACATCAAACTCAAAACATGAACTGTAACCCATGGATACAGTCAGTCATCTGAAATTTTCAATATCACTGTGACAAAAATGATCTCAGAACTGGTCAAGTTCAGGATTGTGCAACTGCCAAACACCAATTTGGAGATATAATTAAAAAAGTGAGAACAAGTCTGTGACAATAGCCATATGAAGGCTTGTTTTCATTGTATAGGAATATATCCTATTGCTCCTGCTTTTATTGAAGAGGATTATAATCCCCGCTCAATTGCTTAGCTTAACAGAAGTCCAAGATGGTGAAAGGAGAGTAGAAAATAATATGGCCAAAACATACCATCTGGGTTACATTCAGAATTGACATTCTAGTTCCTCGCATCTCTCTTCACCACAGTCACCTGCTGTAAAACAGATGACTGTTTTATCATTCAGCAAGAACAAATCTGATGACAGCATCAATCCTCTCAATGTTATATTCGCCTTGAAATGTCAGGCAGGAAACCATCAACAAAAGCAAGCACTCTATGAACTGCTAAACTTTAGCTCTAAAGAAAAGTACTGTGACGTGAAAGCTAGAAGAGAGAGCCATTGCTGGGTAATAGCTCGAGACAGACATGCAGTAACAGTGGAGCTGCAAGAAATGGTCCCTTCTATGCACTCCATGCTGAGGCTATATAACTGGACTGCTTAAGTCGGACAGCAAATATGGTCAAGAGGTACATGGGACTTGGAACCAAGAATCACTGTGCTGGTCAGGACCAGCAGCAATTTCGCCAAGTTTAAGAGTTGCAAGCCAGCGATCAACCAGCAAGGACATGAGCAAGGATACTGCAGAACTTCTATTCGCTTAGTGAGAGGTTGAGTCCAGATGGGTCCACTTGGTACGGCGGCCACTGATTGGCCTACTGTACCTGCCCTGGGTGATTATGATGATGGAGAATTTGGTGGAATGAAGAATAGCAGGGGAAACCGAAGGACTCAGAGAAAACCCGCCCCAGCGCCACTTTGTCCACCACAAATCCTACTTGACCAGACCTGGAATTGAACCCGGGACACCACAGTGGGAAGCCAGCAACTTACCGCTTGAGCTATGGTGCAGCCTGTGCAGAACGTCCATGGTAAGCAGCCATAACCTAGTGAAGACTGTAACCAAGCAATGACTAGAGAAGACACATTAGATGATGACTTAGCATGTGCTGTAGTGATTTGTTAAGTGTATAGATTAGTGACAGCATTATAACTATTCATAGTTATAAGAGTCCAATATATCCAATTATCAGTCCAAATTCTGTGTCTACTCACAAACACGTGGCAGTATTTTCAAGGATAAAGACAAGGTAAAGGACACTCAACATTTCTCCAACACAGCAAATGAAGCTCATGAAACTGTTTTTCAGAATCACAAAATTAGGAATAACATGAGGAAAAGTAAAAGGCACATAGACAAATGGTACAGTTCCATATGTGAACGTAACTTTCATGAGGAATGTGTCTGCTTCACAACAGCTTACAAACACATTCTATTTGTCAGTTCTATACTCCATGACTGTTACATTGCTATAAGTGCATTCAAATTGTTCTTTTGTCTTCACATAAACATCTTCCTCTTGGACCTGAATTTGGCCATATTATCAGTGTGGCATGTGTAATGTGATCCACTGCATTAAAACAAACTGATACGTTTTTAAACAAAATATATGCTATACCCTCTGTCCTGTACCCATGAGCAATGTGTAATAAGCCATTCATTTTGACATTAACTTCCTCACCCCCCTTTTTCCAATTTAAAGAAGCAATTATGTCTTAACTTGGCCACATTACACACAAGTACCACTATCATCTGTTTTCCAATTCAATGGAAAGCAAAATATCATATGATTCATATCATCACAGAGATGACTTTTTCAATTTTTCAATGCTTCCATTAAGATATTCCATACGACTGAAACATAAATCTGTAAAATGACTGTATGACACCAGACTGCTTCTTTCACATACATGTGAAAATGCGAGTATGTAACACATGCAAACCAGAACCAATACACATGTGCCTAAATTACTGGTCTGGTCAACATGTCCTCTAACAGGGGAATCTGAGAAATTAAGCGCTGCTAAGTAAGACTCATGACTCCTCTCAGGAATTCTTTCTGTCTTAATGTAAGTATTAAGTTCAAATTAAACCATTTGTCTGTCCATGAAGAAGGAAGTGGAAAGTTCCTCTAAGATGCTGGTATACACATACAAGACTACATGGTGTCACAATGATGACCTCAATAGTCATTGCCACGAAAACCCCAAAACTTATTAAAACAAATTATGTTACCAGATTTTGAAATTCTTCTGACAAATTGCCACTGAGGCTATGGAATATACTTTACTTTGGCAATTACTGCTAATATATAAGCAATTGATGGTGATGGTGTTAGCACCTCAAGCCAGAGTAGGAATATGTACTTGCAGGATTCAAGCATTCCTCATGGTAACCCAAGTGTGCACTTGCTAACTGCAGGTTTGAAGACTAATCACCATTACTCTTATCATTTTGTGGAGAAAGGTCAAACTAGACATACCACACTTTAACATAAGGTTATCTGCATAAAAGGATGAACAAAAAAAAGGTGAACCTTAAAATACTGTAATCTCAACTGCATAAGTTCATTCTTTCATTTCAATGCTCAAACAAATGCTAAAAAAACGTTCTGCAATCTCCTTCGAATTCACATGGTCTAAAAACAAGCAATATATCGGATATTTTGGAACTATGTGAGGAAGTAATTTTTATAGCAGAAGTAAGGTAGATATTTCTGATTTTATGATAGTGTCTCTTCTGTGACAAATTCAGAAAACAAGGGATGCAAAGAAGAAATACTGGGGGACGGAAGAGTAAAGAGATCTGGAGCAAGAAGGGGAGAGAGTTGTTAATTCATACTGTCTTAATAAAATTCAATTTTCCAAAAACAGTGGTCCTGTAATGGTCAGAACAGCATTGGAAGCATTAGAAATGCATTGGTTGCTTAAACAAAGCAGTATGCTATTACATTCACAGACATATATATATAAAAGGATGAACAAAAATCATAATCCTGCATTTCTTGATGTAAAGAAATTGACGGTGATGAACTTTACTCGCTTTAGCTACCCAGATGCTTCATTATGGCAATATCCCAAATTTCTACACAAAAATTATATTCTGTGCTACATGAGTTGTTGCAAGATCTACCAAATCAAATCCAATTTACATCACAAAACATGGCAGATTTTATAAAACTAATTATGCTGCATTAATCCTTAAGATTTAACCTTTTAAGAATTTACCAAGTTTTGTTTACTTTCTAAAATACATATAAATAAAAAAGTACTCTTGAAAAATTCTGCTACAGGACCACTTACACACTACTGCAGTGCATAAGGATTTAAAAGCTGGCTTGAAAAGGTTAACCACTACACTACTTGTATTACTGTAACAAAATGAATGTGGCAGAGGGAACAGCCATTAAGGCTGTGAGATCAGGAAAAGTCATACAGCTACAACTTGATTCTTATAATTTTAGGACTTCTTCAGATTTACAAATTTCTGTCTTCGTCCCAATGAGAGGCCCTCAAAACATCAATTTTTATAATTTTACTTTTTTGTTAAATTACATTATTGATAAATTTACGGTCAATTTTGTACATCATGACAGGAAAATAAAAGCTTCATTTCATTAACTGAATAAAATAAACATTCTTCAAAATATACATTTGTTGAAAATGCTTGTCCATGTCACAAAAGCAGCACTGTCACACTTAATTACTACATGACACATGTAGTGTGTACGAACATCAATACTGAAAATTCAAAATGACTGAACATAATATTTTGATTCTGTATTTCAGCATCCTGTTGCAAACCTTTAATTAAACGTCTATGTAGTGGACTAGTGAAGACAACACCACACGCAGCTAGAGGTTACACACACGCACGGGGCATATTACAGACAGCAGATGTAGCAAAACAACGGGCTAACAAACAGAAAAACAACCTGCAGAAACGAACCTTTTGGAATATCACATAGCTCCAAACAAGTGGACGATACTCCTTATAAAGTGGAATAGGATTTTACAAAAACGTTTTAATATAAATCTTAATGGATTTTAATTAATTTACATTATTTTTAAGTGGATTGCAACACACGGTCTTAGATCACAACAGAGCAGTGTAGCAGTTTATATGCATTGAGACACCTGAGGATGGCCATCTATGGCCGAAACATGTTGGGTTAAGTGTTAAATGGTGAATAAACAGTTGTTGCACTGTTGCTGGACTGTGGATACATAGGCATTTAATAATATTTTGATATCAAAATACTTGCAGAACAGTATGACCCTAAGATCTTGCTAGGATATTCACTGCTTCTAAAGAAAAACGTATTCTACTGATTGGTCGTTCAGGCAAATTGCTGCTAGCCCTCACCAGCACAGTCACTTTTACTTCTGAGTCCATCTCAAAATATTTTGCCCGTAATCAGCGAACCCCTAAAACTTAACTTCTAAAGCTACTGAAGATAAAACTTCAAGTAATGTAGTCCAGTATGCTTTGAAGATAAAATCCACCATGTAAGAAAGATGGTCAAGAGCACAGGACAAGACAACTGTTGCACTTGTCAAAACATTACTACAGTGAAATTTAATTCATCAGCAAATCACTGAACGATTTCTATACAACTACATGCAGAACTCACCAGTTCCCTACTAGAAACATTTCCAATATTAATGTGCCATGATGTAATATAGGAAACTATAAGCAATGTTGTCTGTTAAACCTCTTCAAAATCACAACACAAATCTCTGCATCAGTTTATGTGTCACATAGAGCAACTGCAAGGTGGTTGGATGGTCAAGTTCTCCACTCACAAACTTGAGAGTGACAGGTTGAAGTTAACAAATTAAAACATGAGCAAATTCTAAGAACACCTGCAACTACAGTGCAACAGAATGAATATAGCTTATAATGAGAAGTTCATTATACTTAAAAATGACACTGGCATCATCTATTTCTTAACTTTACATATATCAAAAACTTTGTAGGAAACAAGAACTTTTTTCTGGCACTTCTATCAATATGAGTAACTCCTAATAACTGCAACTTCCTTCTGCAAAAATGTTCATTGACAGTACACATAGTCTTACCTACTGAACTGCCATACTGCATAATGGACAAATGATCAAGGCTAACCTCTTTGAGGCATACTTAAAGATTGTGAACTTTCAGTGTTCTTAAGAGCAGCTTTTGTGTTTCACTGAAGAAGAGAAAAGAGCATTAGCATCCACAATAATCAGGTGACATCCCTACATTTAGAACTGAAGACTCAAAAGATCTTATAAACTTCCCTGTTCAGATAAAGCTGAAGACACTTACAATGTTAATTTCTATTTTGTTATTTTGTCATCTCTGTCATAACCAGCTACAAAAGTTAGGAAACGTATTCAAAGTAACAGGTGGAGCAGTGAAGAACTGTTAACTGAGACTGAGCATTCTGCTATCTGTTCACATCCATTTCATGGCTTTCGAGGGGGAGCACAGCAGGGTGAAGCCAAGTTGCACGATGCAGAATAGTAACACGTTTCAGCTTTTCTTTTCTCCCATTTATAAAGAGAGCTAGTTCAGCATATAGAAATTCTGATGCCCTGACTCCCTTTTCTGTTCAATCATCTCAAAACTCACAAGACTTAAACATTTATCACTCCAATAAATACTCGGCCAGCTATGCATGTGCTGCATGCGAAAATGCATATAGGTCTGCATGTAAAGTGTCTGTTCGGTGTCAACATAATACAGTGAAGCTCACCAATATTAAATTTCACGGAAAAAATGTTCAGCGGTGCTCAAGTTATGCGCAGACAGACCAATAAATATGCACAATGAACCTAATACGCACAATTTTTCTATTTTTTTTTTAATAAACATGCTAAAAAGAAAGCAAAAAGAGAGGCAAGGTCAAATTTTAATAAAGCAATAGTTATAGCAGCACAATCAATTATATTTTCAGTTATGTATATATTTATTTATATATATATACGTAGACCTACAAAATGCAGGTGGGAAGAAGCTTTGTTTAATTATTACTCAGAAAAAGAGACTTTAGACAATTTTTATATATGGAAGATAATGGTTGTATATATATGTTCAGAAATGTATGCATAGCATAACAATTCTGGCCCATTCAGCCCTTTTTACTTTATTACCTCAAAATCCGTAACACATGGAAAAACTTCACTCAAAATATCCCTCCCCCCATTTCTACTTACAACTTCGGTGCAGGACATTTTTCACTCCAATAAATAATTAACATGTTACACTCAGGATACATTCAGAAACAAAAGCAGTGCCTACTACTATTGTCTAATTATATAACCAAGACTGAAATATGTTGACAAACTTAGTTAAACTCCCCAGTATTAAATAGGTCTTACACTGCTATATGTGGATAGACATGGCAAAGCCAGCAGACACATACTTTAAGCTTTTCACTGCAAACATGCCAAAAACAATAAATACTGCCACACACATTAACATTTGTTAAATCTTAGTGCTATACTGTGATATATGTAATCAGAGTTAGGAGACAAACTTAAAGGTTATGCATTCAACCACTTTTGGTATAATGAGAACCCATTCGAATGCCAATTTTTAGGAATTTTATAAATCCTGGTTATAGCTGCACTGTAGTTCTAGGATGTCCTTCCAGCAAATTTTCACCTTACCGCTCTTTCCTTAGAACCAACCAAAGTCAATAACGAGTTTGTTACTTAACAGCACTGTCAGAATCGAGCCTATACAGCAACTGATGATAGGATGATTAACCTTTAATGTACGGACTTTTAAATTGCCGGGAGCCCTCTGCGGCTGGTATTTAAATCACCCTAAGTAATTAACAACGCAAACTTTCACAAAAAATTCCTTATTTTCCGTTCTATGCAACACAGAAATACGAACAAAAAACAGTCTGTAAGACAATAAAATTTTCTACGTATACTCAAAAGAGCAAGTTTTACAAACGAAAATTAACTGTGATTATTCTGTCATGAAATGCAAAATATAATCTTAATTATATGTTATTAAATTCCAAAGGATTTACCCATTGTTTTTTCTTCAACCTTGAATCATGGTGATATTGTAAATATAGTCATACAATATACAATAATATTTTGTTCCGACTGCATGCGAGTTTGAACTGTGTCACTTCACAGTTTACGATACACTCTGACGTGCGTGGCACTTCTCGAAGATGTCCACCTCACACAGAGCGACACCACCATTTTTACAATAGAAGAGCGTGCTCCTGCTTTTCTTATTTAGTGAAACACGTGACGTCTTTGTTTCCTTTAGGTTGGCCAGTGTTGTGAATGTTTCACCTCCGGTCAACTCAGTTGGACCCCTGATAACTTTGCCCCCCCCCCAAGAAACGCCACTGACCGTGATATTCCGCTTGTGAGATTGAAGAATCATCTTGGGTAGGGGGGTTTCAGCAAAATCGAATAAATTATGTTGACTGACAAAGCAACACTCTCACCTATTAGTAATACAAAATACTGATGCAAAGTAATTACAATATTAGTCGAAAAGAGTGCCAGTCCAACACTGATACCGAAAGTTGCAGTTGCGAAGATGCCTTTTACTCACAAAGTAATACTGGCTCAGTGGGTTTATACCTCTTCCAAGACGCAAAATAAAAATTATATATAAAGAAATATATGACAGTCTGACTCTGACTTCCTAACTGATAATTCATCACTGAAAACAAGTCCTTCAATGCGTCACACTTGAAGGCTCTGGAAGCACTCATCTGCAAGCACCAAAGAATATTTCATCATTTCTTGAAACAAAGCTGGGCTATATTTGGCTGACCAAGTCATAAACAGTCATATCTAAACGTAAATAGTATCGAAACCAGTACCGTGATAAACGATTTCATTGTTCAGAGCTAAGGAATGAACCACTGACATGACCTCACGGTAGGTTTGTCTTGGTTTCAAACCCAAGGTCAAACTGTCAGCACTCCCAAAGAGAGCATGAGTACTGCGTGTTAGATATATATATAACATTCGGCCAACTCGGGGTGCTGCTTGCGTCATATATATCTAACATTCGGCCATTAAAGGTTAATGATTACCAAGAAGCTGGTGGAATGAGAACTGACAGGGGAAACCAAAGCATTAGGAGAAAACGTACCCCAGTGCCACTTTGTCCACCATAAAACCTATATGATCTGAGCTGGGATCAAACTCGAGCCACCATTGTCAGAAGCTGGCAACCAATGAAAGTCAAGACAGGGTTAAAACTACAATATTTATCTGGAAACCACTTACTTATCTGCAGATATGTTCTAAGAATACGCTTTCATTTACTACAAAAACAATTTCCATTTTAGAACATATCCCCAGAAACTGTAACCAAAGAACATTAAGAAACCACACTCATAAAGGGAGCCACAGGTTGAGAGACATGGAATGTAATATACATTAATGTGTAAGAACAAAATAACTTCAGTTTAAGAAAGCTGACTCAAAAATAATGCACCCAAACTAATCCTGGGTGAGATGCAGCATGAGAAACATGGAATGTAATGCACATTAGTGAGTCACTACATGTTATGGAGAGGATTGAAAATAATGTGCACCCTGAGTTATTGACATGTTCCTCCTGCTTTAAAACAAAGAATAAAAGGCGAGAAAATTTTATGACATAATGAGGCAACTGGCTAATATTTAGAAGGAAACGGAATAAGAAAGGAAGAAAGTATGTCACAGCCATCATCATTAATCTCAGCTTAATGGATTATCTGTACAGCTCATAAACAAAATTTCTATGGATGACTGCTCACTTATGATTTAGATTTCTGCCATGCACCATACAAGATGGCTGGCTGAGAAGCCATGAGTCATTTTGATAACAGCCACAAACAATTACATTAAAATGCATTCCTGTCTGACAAGAAATGAGTCAAAAGGATAATTATATTTAATTTATCTTTTAACCATCACCACCAATTTCATTTATATTGTTAGACCAATACAGTAATATTGCTCCAAATGTTTGCACATAGGGCTCCAGAAACATAAACCAGATCACTTGCCACTAAACAGACTTCCTTTATCCAAAGTCTCACTGTACACTTGACATAAACAGTTTTACAGCAAATACTGTAAAAAGAACTCAACAAGAAACATACAAACCCTCCAATTTTCTTGGAGATTTGGGGATGGCCGATACTTACAGGTGTTTGATTTGAAAAAAAAAATTCCTCGCAAGGAAGCCTTCTTGGATCAAATGTGTCAACATAGAATAAAGCTCTTCATACAACTTTCATGATGGTGGAGGCTGAAGCAGTCCCCAAAATACCAATACTTTTACTCTGTACAGATGCAACTGATTGCTCAGAAAAACTTCAACATTAAACGAGTCATTCCGAGAAAAGAATCTAACTGCTTTCAGCACCTTAAACATGAAAAAAAGATACTACATTTTTAATTAATTTATATTGCAGCTGAAAATGTACTCTCAACATTGTCAATAGGCAAGCATATTTCTGGAGTCCTATCTACACATACTAGCAACTCAATAATGCTGTCAGTGAGATGAATTTCATTAATGCAAACATTTAGTTCTTCTAGACATGTTTCTATTGCTTCAAATTGTCAGTATTCTTGGAGCATGTTTCACATGCAAAAAATCTCATGGTCTTACAGACAGGCTTAACTTCATCAACAGAGGCAAAGCCTATGTACCAAGTGAGAGGCATGTGGCAATTTTATGCAAACAATGTTTAGACCTGCCATATACTGGTGATAAGGAAGTCACAGGCATCCAGCACAAAATGGATCCAACAGCATGTATCACACTTTGCTGGTACCACCTTTCAGCCTGGCTGATGCTGATGCTACCTCAGCCGACGCAAGCATGAGCTCAAGTTGTCTAATGCTGCTTGTGTTCTATGGCGTTCATAATCCTGTACGCTCTTTGTGGCTACCAACTCTCTCAATCGATGGTCCAACATGTCCGCTTCATGGCGTTTCTCAGCAAGGGTGCGACACAAATAGGAGTACTGCTCTGTAAGAACAGCATGCTCCAAAGCCCGCTCTGTAAAATAATATTCTGATATTAATTTAATTATGACGCATTATCAAAACTGATGCTGGAATCATACTTTTTTCCTGTAAAAACATTATTGGTTTACACAGATACCTACCATCAAAGAAATATTTTAATTAACAGGAACTACTTTAACCCAAAAAAGGGTGAAGTTGCTTTCATCTTCCCCAAAAATTACTGCGCACTGAGGCACTTGCCAATGACTACTCTACTCTGCTGATGCCACAAGAGAAAGAAACTGTGTTATATTTATGATAAATTACAGACATAACACTGTTTTTTCTTTTGCATTAGTTTATCACATACAATTTTGGGAGTTTCTTCATTGTTAAGACTGTGTATAAGAATATTATACACAGTATACAAGATTTTTAACCACTCTCCAGTGTGATTGATAAAATTTGTTTTTAATTTTTCATCCTTTACATGTTTCGGTCAAAATGACCACCTTCAGAAGGATATAATCAACACATATGGAAACTACTATTACCATGTCATACATACAAATGTTATATCTTTTAACTAACATTAAGACGTACACAGATTTGTTAAAACATTACAATTAGTCAGTTTACAAAGTAATGTTTGATATTTGTTTTAATATAGCACCAACTTGGTTCATGTCATTACGCTTCTTCTCCACAGCGTAGTTTGGTTGTCTGATGATGAAAGGCTCTCTGGTATCATGTCCAGTCATTCAGGCCATGCTGCGTTTGTTATAGATGACATTTACTACCATAGTCAATAAGTTCGAGGACTGGCCACAAAGAGTCGTTGCAGTGCACTACAGTGGATAGGTTGAGACACGATATGATGCCCTGTCAGTTCATCACTCGTCACAGCAAGAGGCAGTTTTGTGCAAACAGTGTACGCAGAACTATAGCCTCTATTGTGAACTGCAGTTAAATGCGAGTGGCGCAAATAAAAAAAAATGTGGCAGTTTGAACAGGCAAACATCAAGTTCTGCCAAACACTAGGCAAATCCCCTAGCAAAACATTTCGCATAGGAAGAATTGGTTGTTGCTACACGACAACGCCCTTGTATATCCCTCTGTTCTTCTCCAAGAGGAACTGGCAAGGCAACAGGTCACCGCTTTGCTACACCCTCCGTACTCACCTGATCTCGCACCATGCGATTTCTTTCTCTTTCACCGCTTGAAAGCAAAGCTACGTGGTCGTAGATTTCAGTCGTCCAAGGAGGTTGTCAATGCCACAAGAGCTGCCTTACCAGAATTTCCTGCCTATATTTTTCAGCAGTGCTTTCGGCAGCTAGATCAACGTTGGCAGACTTGCATAGAGGCCAACGGCAACTATTTTGAGGGCCAATATGGATCTGTTTAAGTGTATCTGAATACCTTGTAATATAATGCAATAAAACCATAGTCCACGAAATTAATGACTGTACCACGTATATCCATGACATGGTAATAGTAGTTTCCATATGTGTTGACAATATCCTCCTGAAGATGGTCGTTTTGCAATCCTGTATTTAAGAATCCTGTTGCATTACTATATCTAATACTGTTTATTCTACTACGCAGTCCGTCAGCAGTGCAACAAATTGTTCCTTCTTTCTTACACTTTCACTTTTGACAAATGTTTTGGCTCCAAACGGCCATCTTCAAGTGTCCTACTATGCCAAAACTGTGACACTGCATTAATATTGTCCATTGCGTGCAACTGCAAATGCGATGAATGGACAACATTAATGCACTGTAACAGTTTTAGCATAGTAAGACACTTGAAGATCGCCATTTAGGGGCAAAACACGTTATGTCAAAAGTGAAAGTTTAAGAAAGAAGGAACAATTTGTTGCACTGCTGACAGACTGTGTAGTATACAATAAACAGTATTAGATGGTCATTTTGACGGAAACATGTAAAGAATGAAAAATTAAAAACACATCTTTTATCAATCACACTGGACTGCAGTTAAAAATCTCATATACAATTATTAGTGTGATGGACCAGGATGAACAAAGTTAAAAACTATTTACAGATTTGAATATTTTAAAGATTTGCAATCTATATTCACTACAGAATGGACAAATACATTGTAAGATGAGGCACTGGCTAAACAATTATCAAAACTTTTTTTTGTACTATATTAAATCTACACCACGGGCCTCAAAGCAGTTTGTTACATGTACACAAGCCTGAATATACCATTATGTCCGTGGGAATATAACAAAATTGCAATAACTGACTTGATGATATGCAATATCACATGAAGAGTTTTAACCATATTTTACTCCATAACTTTCATTTTAATAAGTTTATAGTTCATTGTACTTCGTTACCATGTATTTTATAATGTAACAGTTATCAAGTATCCAGTTTTAACATCACAATTGCAGTTCAGGACTGTGTGAATATAGTAATCATGTGTTTGCCTGATGATGACTTTATGAGCCAAAACATGCAGCCAAGCTAATTTTAGCCTTGACCTTTATATTGCTGTATTGTAACGGACTCTAATAAAGAAACCGTATATGAACTGTCTTTTACCATCCTCAGTTCTCTGACAACCACAAATATTTATGACTTCTCTCATCCATGTTTGGGGCACACATTAGAGTAGTTGCTTGAAGCATTATGCTGCAAGCTGGAAGGCTGCAGGTTTAATTCTTGATGAGATCACTAGATTTTTTAATTGAGCTAATCCTTCCAGCTGCAATATGGCCCTGGTGTTGACTCAACCTCATACAGAAATCTTCCTGCAGATAACGGGTGGCAGGTGTTTAAGGATGACAACCTCACTGTCATCTGAGAGCCAAATGTCTAGAAAATGTGGGAGCCTCGACATCTCACAACCCCATGGGCCTCCACAGCTTGTTACATGGATAATTTTACCTTTACCTTTACCTCATCCAAGTTTCCATGTCAGAACCAGTGCCCCTTTTCAGGGTACAATCTAGGGTGCGTAAGGATGAGAACCTCACTGCCATCCGTGAGCCGACTGTAAAAAATGTGGGAGCCTCGACATCTCACAACCCCATGGGCCTCCACAGCTTGTTACAGGGATAACTTTATCTTTACTTCATTCAAGTTTCCATGTCCGAAAAAGTGCCCCCTTTCATGGCACCATCTAGTCACTTCTCTCTCAACTCCTATAGATGTGCTGTTTCTCAGAAGAATCAATGGGAACTGATGGAATGGCTTACAAACTCATCCTTTCCTATATAATCCTGCATTTTTTCCTCAAAGGCTCACTATGCCAGCTGCATGCTTCATATTAGTCTCTTCTTTAGTTTACCCTTCAACCCAGCAGATGCAGGTAAAGTGTGATATCTTCCTCCAAAACATCAGCTAATGTTTACCAGACTACATGGCATTATATCCTGGAAGATAGAACTATTCAATAAACAGACTCCTCCAACTATATCAACCAGATGGAAAAAGAAGTTTCAGAAGACCCCTGAAATGATGGAAGGATTCAGTTTTGCAATATCCGTAACACGTATCAACAGGCATAACACTGGAAAGGGTGATGATGAAAAAATTCCACACTTCATTTTCTTCTGTGAGTGTTATTATTTTATGTTATACTAAAATAAAACGTGCCTTCAGCATATTTTTGGTAGGCTTCCATGATACCTTCCAAGCCTGGCCACTTCACTGGTCTGTCATCATCATCTTGCTGTTCACACTGATCTACGGATGCCACAGTACCATCCACGTCAACTGCAAACCTCTTTACTCCATTCTGCAATGTGGCCAGCTGATGAACAAACCCCGGTCTTGTCCCATTTTGTCCACTTGAAGGCAGCACAAGCAAAGATTTCTCTGATGTTGTGGTTGGACTTAGGGATCGTTTAACTCCACCCGCAAGCAACTGAGCCTTTCCACCATGTGAATCTGTTACCTAAAAAAATGTTAATTTATATCAGAACAAGTACCACCTCAGTTACACTGGTAAGAGTTTTAAATATACTAGGAATACATGCATCAGACTCAGGATATTATACATATTCAATTAACCTTTTGTGGGTTTCTTACTTTGCAAGATGTAATAAACATGAACATAACAACGCAGAAATGATACTTTTGTGTAAACTATACACTATTTATTACACCGTTCATTTAGCTTAACAAGAAAGCAGTAGTAATGATACAAGTGTAATTAACTCACTCTGTCGCACAAATAATTAGCAGTTCAAGAAATTTCTTGCTGTTGCAGAATCTATAATGTTATAACTTCAACAAAATCTTGTTATTGGATTGTATCATGTTCCAGTCAAGCTTCCCACCCCAAAATTCATTTCATATTATTCTCATATCAACATCTCCATCACCAATGTTCTTTCCAACGCTAATCTGTTTGCATTATTTTCTCATGTGCACTACACATTTCAAATACCCAAATATCAGCATGTGCAGAGTACAAATTATTATGCTCCCTGTCATGAAAGGGTCTACACCTGCTTGCTACTTCAAATGCTTATGAGCAAAGGTCCTCCTCAGCTTTAAATAATTAAATCTTGAGTAACATAAACAAAAGTATATAAGATCTGAGGTTTTCACGGTGGTGACTAAGAAGAAAGAAGTCTTCTGGGATGTGGCGCCATGTAAATATTATGTTAACCGACGTTTGGAGGAACGTATCGCCTCCATCTTCAGGGTAGAAGAAAAAAGAAGAAAATTTGCAAACAAAGAACCAGCATGAGCAAGTACTAACAGACTAATGTCAAGAATAAACCCAGCTGTATAAGAGCAGCATCTATTTGGGACAGCGCGGTCAGCTTCAGAATACCTCCATCTTCACCACCAAGACCTGATATATGGATCGCATCATTAGGGAGGCCATTGAGACTGAATTTCATCCCAACAATATGAACGGGGNGGGGGGGGGGGGGGGGTGGGGGTTGTCTCAGCAAGTCATGGAAGCCTCTCATCTGTTCCCTCAAGAAACCTCCAGGACATGGCCATGCAAGTCCATGACTGACTCGCACAGCAACCCCGAAGGTTAAGGGTTAATGCCCTCCAATTATCTTGCCTCTCTCACTCGACACAATATTCTATACCTGCTCTGGCCTGCTACCTGCTGGCCCACCTCCCCAGTCCCTTCCCCTCTCATCTCTACTAATTTCCCATGTAGCCCCTCTCCCTTCTCTTCCTGCTATTACACAGCTAGGTTTATTCTTGACATTTAGTCTATTTGACCTTGCTCATGCTGGTTCTTCGCTTGCGGATTTTCTTCTTTTTTCTTCTACGCTGAAGATGGAGGCGATACATTCCTCTGAAAAGTCAGTTAACACAATATCTACATGGTGCCATATCCCATAAGACTGCTTTCAACATAAACCAACACTTCCCAGTCTCCACAAGGAAGCACATTAATATATTACAGATCAACGTCTTGCAGTACACCAATCATTGTATTAGTGTAAGAGTGTTAAGTTTATGCATATGTAAGCATGAGCTCTGTTCATATTATTCTTGATGCACATATGTGCATCCCCATTTCTGAAATACTTGTAACAGACAGTTAATAGTGTAAAATTATTCTGGTCAACCATAAATTGTGGTAAGCAGGTGCAGAATGGAGAGAAGAAGTAAGCTACACATTCGTTCTTAATTCTGCAGCGCTGGGTTTATCACAACTGGCATTACACCTGGCACCACAACCAATCATCTCTACATTCTACTGTCACACACTCATTCTTGCCACAAATTTGTCTTCCTCTGCATTGCATCACCACCATATTTCTCATCTGAGTGTACACCAAGTACAATGAAGTACATTAGAGTCATATATAACTTAAATGTCTGGAATTACTGCAAACACAAAAACATTCTTAAGTAAAAGAACGTGTACAAAAGAATACTGCTTTATGTTGAAAACATTTCTGTGCTTCAAATTTTGTAATAAGCACTTATTATGCTTTTTTTTTTTCGCATTATGAATTCTCGCTATAGCAAAAATTTATATGTGATATGATCAATTAGTTTCCAGACAGGATGCAATATGACATTATTGCAATTAGGACAAAACTACTATGCTAGGCAGTGGTTGAGTACAATCTGCTGAATCATTTGCTCATCATTTCAATATTATACCTTGCAGTATTCAGGAGCAATATCCTGCGAAGTGCTGATGTGTGCTGTGATCCTGTGAAATGAACTATATCAGTAAATGGCATTTCTAACAATGGTGCATGTGCATCAAATTTTCATTCAAACTAGGCAGAACTGCTACAAACCTTATCAGAAGTCAAGAGTTGTTTTCAAAAAGGAATGAACAGGTCTAACATTTTATTGATTTTCAAAGTTTAAAAGTAGAACTATATCAGATAATGATTCTCAGCATATAGCTACATCCATCCATGAACAAAATGGATGAAAATGTAGCGAGAAGCAAACATGGTATTTATTCACAAAAACAGTGAACAAAATGGACAAAAATGTGACAAGAAGCAAACACAGAATTTATTCACAAAAACAGTGAACAAAATGGACAAAAATGTGACAAGAAGCAAACACAGAATTTATTCACAAAAACAGTGAACAAAATGGACAAAAATGTGACAAGAAGCAAACACAGAATTTATTCACAAAAACAGTGAACAAAATGGATGAAAATGTGGCGAGAAACAAACATGGAATTTATTCACAAAAACAGACATAGAAATCTACAACTTGCTTAATGAAGTGGGAATCTCATTTGGGTCATGCCAAAATGTATTCACACAAGACCTGAAAATGCACTGGACTGCCACAAAATTAAGCCTCATCTGTTGCCCAATAAGCAAAAGCACAATCACATCAATGTGTGTCAGTACGTTCAAGAAAAACTTCAGAGACCATCAATTCCTTTTGAAAGTTGTCATGTGACAAAATATGGATTTATAACTATCATTCTGAAAGAAAGCAACAGCCCTCTCATTGAAGCAGTAAATTAAATCTTCAAAGAGGACAGACAAGTTCATTCAAGTGTAAAAACATGCTGAGCATAATTTTTGTCATTCATAGAACTGTGCATCATGAATCTGGCCACAAGGCAAACCATGAACCACCATTTCTATTCAGATATTCTGTGGTGTCTAAGGAAAGGTGTGCAGTGCGAACAACCTAACAAGCTGCATACTGAAGATTGGTTTCTCAAGCTTGACAATGTTCTTGCTCACTCATTGTCTGTGCATGAATTTCTGCCAACAATGGCAAGACTGCTTTCCCAAAATTTTCGCACTTCCCAGCTACAGCATTGTGTGGGTTTTTCTTTTTCCCACGCTCAAGTTGGCGCTGAGAGGGAGGTAATTTGATGGCACTGTGATTTAAGAATAATCACAAGCTGTACTTGATATGTTCAAAACAAAGACTTCTGTGAATACTTCTGAAATTGGTGAAATCAATGAACTCACCGCTTGAAGTTACAAAAAATTATGTTGAAGGGTATGGCATGGTTTAGACAGTAAACACAGTTATTACAGAAAAATGAATACAATCCAGAAATTATTTGATCATGCCATGCATTTTCTTAAATCACTAGTATTTTGACATTGTGATATGCATGAACTTTTCAGTATCCTAATCTTCCTTCCTGAAGTTTACTTACCATAGTGCAGATTAATTTCTTGTCACCAATAGCAGCCAAACTGGAAGTACTATTATTAGAAGTGCTGTTGTTTGTGACAGTTTCTTTAGTATTGTTAACCCTTATGTTAGAGTTTAAAGACTGACTGCAGTATACTATCATGGGATTGATGGAGTTTCGACGCAACCTCTCTGCTACAACATTATGCCATATAGCTTCACCTTCTGCAAGAGAAGAAATTTCTGATAAGACTGAAGTTTTTTGCATTGTGACAATGTGTAGTCCTGACTGTAGTGTCACAACCTGGATGACCATAAACTTAACAATCACTGACATGAAAACCTCAAAATTGTCATACAAGCAAGCATAAATGACAAGTTCAATGTTCCTTGGCAAATACACCACCGCAAAATGTTTTGGGGTTTGAAGGAACAGAATCCCCTTTTTTGAATTCTATTAGCTAGCTGTGTGCATCTGTTATAATTTATTTTAATTACATTCAGTATGCAACCTACACAACTTACCAACTTTTAACTCCTTATTTTCAAAAACCAAAATGAAACCTGCCAACTAAAAAAAAACATACATTCAGTATTCAACAGCCATGTAGAAGTTTCAAATTTTCAAGATGGAATAAAAAAAAAGAGAGAGAAAAATCCCGATTTAAATGTTAATTTTTCATTCTAGAACTTCAAGAATTTCCCGAGTGCTGTTTTTGCTTTGCATGTTGGGGTCATGTCAAAAGAGACTTGCATCTTATTTGCCTGAATGGAAGACAAGTTATCTTAGCTCTTTTAAGGGCTATAAATTTACAGGCAGTCATCAAGAATTTGAATTATATGTACAGTATATCATACATGTAATTAAGTCCTTTGAAGCCTTTAGTATTTTCATAGCAGAGGTGACACCTTGCACCATCATGTTGTGTGAGACTTGCAAGATAGGAAGTGAGAAAGACAGAAATGCTTGAATGTCAGAAGCCACAAGCTACCACGGAGCTGCCTGAAATATTATCAAAGTTACGTGAGAAAAGTAGCAATTTACCAATTTATGATATCATAAAATTCTGTGCTAATGCAAGTGTCACTCTAACATAAAAATGGCAGGTCATGTCAAGAAAAGAAGTAATATGTCAAAATTATCAGGTACTGCAGTTATGGTGATTACACATACAAAATAAATAACTGTGAAGTGGTAAGAAAATACATTGCCTCCTGAGGCAAAAATCTAGAAGTGGGAACAACAGAAACTGGAATGTGCCAACTCTAAGAAAAAACTGTTGTCTGGATGGACTCTAAGAGAGAATGGAATGCCAGTATCATGCAACATCATTAACAAATGGGAGGCTCAAATTTTAAGTCCACCTCAGGGTGGGGCGTGCAAATGACATGGAGAAAAAGATTTTCTTCATACCAAAGGTCTTCTCTCTGAAAGAAGTTACATCCCACTCTGATGCACTGTTGATGAAATGCCAGTGTACTTCCATATGCCAACCAGTTACACCATTGATGACATAGGTGAAGAATCTGTTGCCATAAAAGCATTAGACAATGAAATGAAGTAAGACTAGTGTGACCAAGGTGGCACACTGCATAAAACAACCATGTGTGATAGTGAACTGAAAACCCTATGTTCAAGGTGCAGCTGCTGATGGGGCTAATAGTCACATGTCTATTTACTTACTTACTTATGGACCTGAGACCTACTTGAGGAGCCGCCAAATCTGCAGCTACTGAAGAATTTCCCAGGATTTTATGGAACCCGAAGGTTCATTACAGTGTTCACAAGAGCCCTCCACTGGTCCCTATCCTGAGCCAGATCAATCCAATCCATCCCATCCCATCCTATCTCTCTAAGATCCATTTTAGTATTGTCCACCCACCTACACCTTGGTCTTCCCAGTTCTCTCTTTCCTTCTGTCTTTCCCACCAACATCCTATATGCATTCATGCGAATATATTGAATAAGCAGTCATGGCCAACAAAGGGTGGTCCTCCAGGTTGGGGGTTAGGCGTGGCACTACCTCCTCCTCGCCATAAAAATAACCTTGTTACGAAAATGCACACAAAGCCTTGGACCTGGGCAGATCCTCTGGATAGTCACATGTCTAAGGGATATATAATTAACAGGGGGACTGATTACAAGTTGTCTGGAACAGAGGCCAAGATACTGTTAAGAAAACAAGGAATGCCTGTGGTAGATGCATCTGAAGATCACTTAACAATGGACACCAGAGCTATGATTCATGCAACGAATACTGATCTTGTGGTCACACTTGAAGGAATGACTACATAAATGTTCACCCTCATGAATAAGCCTTTGATGTGCATTTAAAACAACTATATTCCAAATGGCTTTCAGTAGGAGACTATATTCTGAAACCATGAAGACAGGAAGATGCCCAGTGTGAAATCACTGAGTAAGCCATTACCATTGCAACAGATTGCCCTGGAAGTGATGGTCACCAGATCATCTGATGAAATGGATAGAATGGAGGATGAGAAACAAGTTGGGCTGTTGACAGTGAACATGACAGTGTGCACAGTGATTATGAGATAATATGTCAACTGTGAGGACAAAGTTGAGCCAGGCAACAAGAATGGTGAAGCTGAAGAAAGGCAAATAACTTCAAGAAGGAAACTAACTCAAATATCATGCATAACACATTTTCTAATACGTATTTTCTTTCACGTGTATATAGTAACAGTAAGAAATTAATTTTATGATTACTTTTTCTGTACAGACATGTTTCCTACTGCAAGGTCATCTCATATTCAGAATTACCTTCCATTCAGGTAAATATGGTAGTACACTTTTGTGCACTGAGAAAAGATGACTAGTGATATAAACTATTACAGTAAAAAACTGGTGTTCTAAAAAAGTTCTCATTCTTGTCTCAATTCTTGAAATTCTTCTAAATTCTCATCTCAAACTGAAAAGGCCATTCTTGCACATGCTTATTACTCAATGATGATTCAGTGGTTCAGAAGTTCTGTGGGTCAATAAACCTTTCAATAACATTGCTCTTTTATTTGGTTTACTTTTAGATTTCACACAGATATGTAACTTTCATCCGAAATACTGAGCTACAGCTCATGTACTACAGTACACTTTAAATATCATCATCCATGTGAGGGATTTAACTTGCCATAACACTGACAAATATTTTGTAATCAGCTGAAAATATGTCAGTTTTATGACATAACTTTCTCACAAACACATAAAGACATACCTTAATCCTACAACATATACCTTCTCGCTCCTTCTTAGAGATGGACTCCAAACCAAGGTTACGAAGAAAACGCTGTTTTCCTTTGAAGTCTGGCATTCTACAGAGCACATCAGGATTCACACAAGGAACAGGCAAATCTAATGGCAATGGTGGACTTATGCTGCCATCTGAAGAAATGCTGTCACACTGTAGTGGAAGTGTTGGACTTCGCGCTCGACAACGTTCCAACTTCCGCAGCTCATATTCTACAAATCCAATGAAATACATAAAATAAATATTCAGACTCTTATAAATCAAGTTTACAGATGTGATTTTATGCCCATAAGTCTGAAACGTTTTCCTCAATCTCATCCATAATTCTATACTGATAAAAATAATGCTACTGTTACCAATAATAAAAGTTACAAAAATACTTATAAATTATCTTTTAAAGGAAGATGCAAAGGGGTATGGAAGGAAAAAAGTCACTTACATGACATCATGAAACATGAGCACAGGACCATTCTCAGTTTCAGACAAAGGGGGGGGGGGTCAAGAATAAAGACTATAATTTAAGCGCATGCATGCAAAACACTTTTGCATGGATAAAGACAATTTTCCTACATATTATGTGTGTTAGTGTGATTAATGCTATGAATGTGTAAGAAACATTTTTCTGCTTCATGGAAGATTAGACTAAGAATTAAGAGTGGAAGAGAGAATAGAATAAGAATATGCAAAGTAAGTTTCCTAAACTTAAATATTGTAGCATGTAGATCCGTTACTAGGTAACAATCACAAACAAACAGATTCCCATGGCAACAAATCAACAACCAATAACAGAGGAACTGTTGGAAGCAGTGTTTTCTGTGGTCCACACTGGAACTGTTGCTAGGCAACAGCACAGTAAACACACCTCTGAAGCAACAGCTGAACTACAACAATAGAACAGCTGTGTTTTCTATGTGGTCCATGCCAAGGTTATCAATGGGACAAGTTTAGAGCTGAGTTCAAATGTGGGCTGTGTGCCAGACAGTAAAGACGTAAGCGAACAGCGTTACAATCCGTTACCAGGAAATGTCTAGCGAAGAGAGAAAAGACATGATGTGTGCTGTAGTTAGAGCGATATTTGGAGTGTGTAATTCAGTGAGACTGTTATGGTTACTTGCATTTACAATCTGTAAGTAGCCAATAAATCCAATATCCAACGCAAAACCCCATCATGAGTTACTCATACAAACAAACAAGCATACAAACAAACAAACTAACTCCATGGCCTGTAATCCACAAGTGAACTATACCAACCTAGCAACTGCCGCTGCTGGCAAAGTTAGTGCCAATTTGCAGACAGAGGGTGTCATATGGTCAACGCAATGAATCCCCACGGCCATTAATTTCGGTTTTCTAGAACGAAGCCACTATTTCCTTGAAATAGCTCCTCAATTATCCTCACGAGGCTGAGTGGACCCTGTTCCAGACCTACTACTTCTCAGAAAATCTGGCAGCGCCAGGAATCGAACCCAAGACCTTTGGATCTGAGGCCAGGAACTCTGACCACTAGACCACAGAGGCAGTCATGAGTTACCCATACACATGACAATATACTATTAGAGATTCAAAGTACTACATTTATTTCATATAATTAAACTACATAAAACTTGTCTTCAATGGCAGTCTGTCTGGCAATGCTAGCTTGGTAGCACAAAATTTTGAGAAAGAACTTCTCTGTACTATATCTGCTTAAATATGGGAAACCCCCCCCCAATCAGAACACAAAAGTCATTTTGCAGTAAACAATTATTACAGAATAAAACTGCTATATTTGTTTTGTAAATATGAACTACAGTACTCTATTCATGGCAAATATATCTGGTTAATTCTAAGAGACAGTAATGGGTGCGGTATGGCATGTACTAATGATGTCATGCTCGTAAATAAAGACATAATACATAGGTAAGTCAATAAGTAAGTTACAAATGGATACTGAACTTAAACAAATAAGAGTGCTTATTTGAAAAATGCTTTTATTTCTCAACATAACCTCCCTGTACATTGAGGCGCTTGTCCCATCGTTTCACAAGCCCCTAAAAACCAGCATGCGTCCGTGCATCGCCTGCCAAAAAAATTTTATGTGACACCATCCTCCAGGAAAGTGATGCTCAGTCTTCTGGAAAAACAAAAGAACACTGCCCACCACGTTCCAGCCTCAAGGTGACGCAGTATGTTTCCACTGCATTGACGCACGCGTTGTCTCGGACTGGTAATGGTGAACCTAAGACTCATCACCTGTGACAATTCAGGCTAGCATATTGTGTCTTTCATCATGGTAGCAATTGAGATGCTGTGATGCCAGATCCATTCTTTTGCATTTTGGGTTGTGGGGTCAGCATGCATGGCACCAATCGTGCACAGACTTCGTGAAAACCTAACCTGCCATGCACCATGAGGTAGGCCATGCCATGTGAACTCGCATAGTTCCGACAGCAGACCAAAGAGTTTTATGCTGCCGGTTTTCAGGGGCTAGTGAAATGACAGGACAAGTGCCTCAGTGTACAGGGAGATTATGTTGAGAAATAAAAACATTTTTCAAATCGGTATTCTTATTTGTTTAAGTTCTATATCAATCCATTTTATTGATTTACCCTCATACTTTACCACAGAATGCAGAATTTCGGTCCAAATACTGTATATATCTTATATGTTTACTGCATGTATTATCACATCTTACAGTTTGCTCATTAATGTATGAACCTGTCTTGGCGCCAGAAATTTGTCTCATCTCCATGGGCTTAACTTAAAAGCAACTCTTGTCACCATAGCAACACCACCGCCGCCGCTGCTACTACTAACTACTGCTACTGCTACTACCACTACTACTACTACTACTACCACCACCACCACCACCACCACCACCACTACTACTACTACTACTACTACTACTACTACTACTACTACTACTACTACTACTACTACTACTACTACTACTACCACCACCACCCCCACCACCGCCACTAATTACTACTACTGCTACTACTAACAACAACAACAACAACAACATATCTACTCCCCTATGCTAACTCACCATTCCTTACAGCAATTGTTGTTAATCCAAACAACTGCAAGAACCTGAGTTTTCCAGGTGGGGCATCAAGTGGTGCAGGTGGGCCCTTAGTAATCCAGATAGTAACCAAGGTTTCTGATCCTGTACCTCCATCCTCTCCATCTGAATCTGAACCTATATTGTTATTATTGTTACTGCTACCACAGCTGATGCGAGATCTGCGTCTTTGTTCAGCCAGGTCTAGCTTGCTGATTAGTGTTGTGTTGCAGTCAACTTCACTCTGCATTAAAATACATGCAAACATTTCACGTTCAATTCCTACAAAATGTATTAATTTTAGATATCTAGGAATGACAGTAACAAATTATATTCATAAAAAGGTCAACAGAAGATAAAATTTGGGAAATGCCTACTACCATTCAGTCTGGTATCTTTCCCATACCATATCCAGAAACCTAACACCTCATAAGAACATATTACTGTACTTGTTGTACTATATGGATATGAATTTTAGTCTCTCATTTTAAAGAGAGGACAAAGATTGAAGAGTCTGAGACCTGGGTGTTGGGGAGATTATTCAGACCAAAATAACAGCAAAGTGAACTGGAATACCACATTTGGTATAGTCATTAGCTACTGGCTACTGAGTTTGAGTCCTGCTGAGGTCAAGAATTTTCACTTCTCCATGTTGTTCAGACTGGCTCTGGGGTCCACCCAACCTCCTAACCATTTGGTACTGGGGGCTCTTTCCCCGGGGGTAAAGCAGCTGGGGAGTGAAGCTGACCAATCACCTCCAACTAGTGCCAAGGTCAAGAAAACATGGGTCTATACATCAACTCCCTACATGCCTTCATGGCGTAGAGCTTACTTAGTACAGTACAGGGACAACTTTACCTTTTTTTTTAATCTTACATGACAGGAAATCAGATACTGTAATCTTCATAAAACATTGTTAAAGTTACAGTTCTTTTTCTGGATTGTAAACTGACCTGAATTTCTGGAGGAAATATTCATACTCCAGCTGTATTTTGAAAAGACTTCCAAAACATGTGCTTGCTAGCTGTCGTAACTAAAATGCCAAGCTTGTCAAATTGCTTCATATCGGTTTCTACTCACAGTGCTGAGGAAAACAAGTATGGAAATTGTGAGGTCAGCTGACCAGTAGTCTGTGTTAACCTTTCTGACATGTCACATCAAAATTATTAAATTATTATTATTAGCTGAACTTCAAATCTATTAATTATCCTATATAAATATAATGAAATTGGTGCATAACACACTATAAAGTAAGATCATCAAATCATACTGCTACTTCTGGATTAGGACAAGCTTAAATAAAATGACTTCCGTACTCACACGATGACTGGTTATACTTCGACTGAGGTAGTGGTAGTCCCACACAGACATATTTGTTGCTCCCTCCTTGTTTGTAGAAACAGCTGCTAAAACTTTAGCCGCATCTGGTACATTGAGAACAGCTGCTGGCACAGTGCCTAAACCAGACACTGCTGGACCACTTCCACATGCTGGCACTAATACTGTTGAGGACTGATTTGATGCAACAAATGTCACTGCATTACTACCAGATGATACTGCACTGCACACTGGTGTCGAATTTATTACTGTTTGAGAAGAACTTTGAAGCTGGCTAGCTGAAGACAAAGAGCCTTGGTGGTGACTGCTTGAGTTCTGTGTTGCCTGATGCTGGACAGCTGAATTTGAAGCACCTTGTATGAAGGTTGTAGCTAGAAGTAAGGATCCATGATGCTGAGTTGATGATGGGTGTGGTATTTGATGTAATGGACTGTTCACATTCACTGAACCTTGATGCTGACTGGTTGATGAATTCAACATGTGTAAAGATGTCTGAGGCATACTTCCTTGCTGAGAGGACACACAAATGGAAGGAAGTTGTGCAGTTGTCTGGATTAACTGATGAGACTGATGTAGTGGCTGGATGGAACTAGCTGAAGAGGAAGGCAAAGAGCTGACCAGATGCTGATGTGACACTGGGACCTGTTGCTGTGACTGACTTGAAGGGCTATGTAATGTTGCTGACTGATTTTGCAGATGGTTCTGATGGCTTGAAACTGAGGTATGTACAAAAAGATTCTGAACAGATGATTGCTGCTGACTCAGAAGTTGATGGTGGCTTATATTAGGCTGAGTAACTTGTGGATATGGAGATAGATGATGAGAAATGCTATTTGGTGACATCTGACTGGAAGAAGGGGAAGGCTGAGCCAACATCTGACTTGTTAAAGGTTGCTGAAATGTTAGCAGTGTTGGCTGCTGTGAAGCCACAACATTATCTACTGTACTTGTTGTAGATGGAGATGATGCCATGGTTTGCGAATGACAGTTGCCATCAACCTGGCTGGATCCACGAGACGGCGATGCTGCGGACAGTTTACGGACCACCGCGGATGATCCTGATCCATTTTCACTCGGATTCACTGCCATTATTGGTTTATTAACACACGTAACACTCCCACAATTTTCTTTCACTGAGTGTGTATTTGCTGAAGGTGGTCCTCTGTGCTGATGTGATACTGCATTGCGCCCACCAGAAATTACACAAGCATCCTGGTTACCAACAGCTGTAGCCTGCTGGGTGTTACAAGGGGTTGTCCCAGCTTGTAGTCCACTAGGGTGGTATGGAGATTGCTGAGAGTGGTGAATTTTGGAAATAGGACTATTATCACCTGAAGCGGGATTTGAATGAGAACTAGGAGGAGGGACTATTGGTGAACGTCTATTGCTGCCATGCTGCTGAGGAAAACTGTCCTCAAATGGACGTACAAATCCAGAGGAGGCAGGGGTAGCTGTATGTGTGGTAACAACTCCAGGTTGGTCCTTGGTGCATGCAGAGGACCGCCCAGGGGTCGAATTACCACTGTTTGTACGTTGTACAGATGTTCCCTGGGAGGCATGTTGCTGACTAGATGTATGATGGTACACAGAAGCTGGAGATGTGGTGGAAGGGTGAACAGGAGGATGGTGTACTGGAGGAGTATGTGATGGAGGAGTATGAGAAGTAAGAGAGTGAGGTGCTGGAGGCGTGTGGGGATGATGTGGTACAACAGGATGTGATGGAGAAGTGTGAGGATGGTGTGGAGGTGGTGCTAAGGCATGAGAGTTGGGTGGTGTATGTGGATGATGATGATGGTGATGAGCTCCTGGGGGTGTAGGTGGGTGGTGGTGGGATGGTGGAGTATGTGGGTGAGGAGGAACAAGAGGATGAGATGGGGATGTGTGTGGATGCAGTCTTAGATGTGATGAAGATGATAGGTTCTTTCCTGCTGTATGCAGAGGAAGGAGGTCAGTTTCAACAGAACCTGGCTGTAACTGATTTGGAGGAATAGGATGTAAAGGGGGAGGAAGGGTAACGGCAGTTGGGGTAGGAATAGAACCTGGTGCAATCAGAGGAGGAGGGCCTCGTGGAGGGTCACTGCATGCTCGATCTCGTGCTACCCCTATGGGCGCCTTCCTAGCTGGAACAAACACACACAAACGGAACCGTGGTGAGGCTCCACTAACAAGCTGTTATCATTAGTAAAACTAATGGCATATAAGAAAGTACTGTTTGAAGTTACATCTGTTCAATCATAATAAAATCAAACACACTTGTGTTCGAGCATTAGTCTTGAAAGTTAAGCCGAATGATAGCCCTCACCTGGCGGGTCTTGGTGGTGACTAGGCGAAGCTCGTGGACTCCGCCGTGGCTTTTCCCGTCTCTCTTTTTCCCTCTCTCTTTCACGTTCTCTCTCTTGTTCACGTTCTTTTTCCTCATCCCTTAGCCGAGATTCCCGAGCTCTGTGTTCCTCTTCCAGTTTTAATCTGATAAGATTAAAAGCACAAGGCATGTTAAGAGTGTACATTATTAAAAGTAAAGTGCATATACAACAGCAGAATTGGTTTCTTAACATATTACAAACAACACTGTTTACAATGGCTTCATAACCTTCTGAACATCTTCCAAGGTTTCAATATGTGAAATTTTCAGATGATGTTTCATGGTAGGGGAGAGAAGAAACCACATGGAGTGAAAGCTGGGAGTATGTGGGATGTTCCAGGACAATATAAGTTTCTGTTCTTGGGAAAAGTCCCTTTGCTGGAAAACACTGTGTGTTAGGTTCCTCACATAAATTTTCTATCAAAAATGTACAGTATCTATGCCAAACTTTCAGTTCTTCTGCAATCATTCTGACAGTACAATACCACTCATTTTACAAAAGAGTTCTCATCTTTTTGATAATTTCATCTGATTTTGTTGTTGTCAGGTGTCCAAGTGGCTGTCAAACTCAACTTCATCCCATTCTTCAGAAACTATTTACATCATACAAAAAGCATGGACTCCTTGTAACCATATACTTGTTTGAATATTGTGACGTGGATGGCGCAACGGGAAGTAGGGGTCACATGAACTCTGTGGTTTTGCAAGTGATGTCACATACCCCCACCCCTTCCACCAGTATGCAACGCTCAGTGAGCGCCGCTTCCCCGCGGTGACATGGCAGAGGAGTGGCTGCACCAGACAACCATTGCCACGGTGACGTAACAAGGAATACAATGGTTACTACCCAGCCGTAAACAACTCCCGACAGCACTGCCAGCAACACCTGTAAACATGGCGACTAGGCAACAAGGAAGCAAGGCATTTTCCCGTTGTATGGCTCAAGGTTTATAAGAGAACTACAATGCCTAAGGAGTCGGTTGAAATATAGCAGCCGCTGGAGACAGCTGAATTGTAGTAGTCACAGAGTTCAGTTGTAACAAGTGAATCGTGATAGTGTGAAGAGATTTGTGAGTAGGGTTTGTAAAGTGTGTAAACCCGTCACAGTGTCATAAGTATTTGTAGCTACAACTTGTAGGTTGTTAAATAAATCAATTAACAATCTGAACAACGTCTTCAGTGGCAAAACACATTACAGTATTTATAAGGTTCTGGTTGGTTTTCGCTAAGTGTGAACAAAAATTTCATGTTGATTCTTCATTCAAAATATTTATAACTCGTTTCTGCCATGAGCTAACTGAATATTACTTTAGCCGAAGCACTAACAGCTCTACACTCACTAGACTTGTCAAGACATGTTTGCTACTGTGTACAGTCTACATATGTCTACATATGGCTTCATTCACCATTAACCATATAATAGCTCACACTCTGCAGTGTTACCAGTCCTACTATTTAACAGACACACCTCATAAGCCATCTTCATCACATTCCAAAACATTAACACATATACACAGTGTTTTAATAAAAACCTGTTGTTGAACTCGCTGATACTCCTGGATAATTTCTGTCAACACTGCTGATTAACATGAACATTTTCTGTCACAATCTCCAGATCCCCTTATATATATCACAGTTAGTGAATCACTTGTTAACCAACAAGATTTACATACTTCACTGTCAAGAGACATATTTCTACTATAAATAAATGCCTCAGTTAATTTGAAGTATACTCCAGTAATGTGAGCACATTTCTTCTTGAAGAAATACTCTCAAGAATGGCATAGAATTACTTTTGCAGCACTACTGGAAGTCTGATATTAAAATTAAGGATGCATGAAACTGCTACTAAGTAAGAGTGAATATGCACTGTCAATTTGTATAAGGATTCTTTACTATAATGATCAATACTTCAAGATTCACAATGCTGTAAAACAGCAACAAACAAATACAATGTTAATGAAGGGTCTACATGATTAAAGCGCCCTAAATATATGCATCGATTTTAGATCTAAGTACACTCTTACCTTTTTATAATTCTACCAAAATTTCGGTCATTTTTATTCTATGTTCTTCCAATTGTTAATCCAGTCACTGTATGTCATTAAACACCCTGTATTTGGAATTGCAACAGGTTAATTCATTTTTATATTCAAACTTTCAACACACAACCCAATTCATTTTTGAGTACCATCTTCTAATAAGGCATAACTGCCTTGTTATTGACAATTCCACAAACCAGTGCATCTTTTCAGCAGTCATTTTCTGTCTTAATAATGATTATGTAGCAATCACACTCAGAAGAATCTCATCTAGTATTATTTATAGCAGTGAAAAATATTTCTTCAAGACTCAGACCACAGTCTGAACCTCTGTGACTCTGGGAAAGATATACAGAACACAAGTGCAAGGTGTAATAAAAAAAGGGGTAAGCTCAGTGGCTACTAACCATTTTCCTCACTTTACATTTCCTTCCCCTTTCAATCCTGAATTTAATTAATTTTCAGTTCAAACTTGTATGCCTCTCTTTACGCTCTTCCACTGGTACACATTTTTATTGCTGTCATCAAAATGTGTGTGCCACCCAAACATTTCACCATTCCTACTTCTTTAACATCCATCTTAACATTACCTTTCTTTCTTGCTATGGCCTGTCTACAATATCTCTTCATACATTTCCAATAAAACTCTGTATACGTTTGTATCCCCAGGCTAATCAAGTCCACTGCAGAACTGATAAAATGATCCTTATGAAACTAGGTTCAAAATAACAAAAATTATACCTTAAGTCGTCATTATGAGTTATACTTCTTTCCCCTTGACATTAAAATACTCTGAATTTGCAAAACATTACAACTTAAGAAATGGTAACGTTATAGCCCAGTTGTATACAGTGTTTAACAGTCAAACTATTGATAAGAAGTTCTTACTGGCATAAAAAAATGTATATCTCCTGAGCATCAAACATGCACACGCATCTCACCTTTCATGCATAACAGGTGAGATGAGCCCAATTGGTGAAGGCAGTATATCTTGTGGATACCTCATGTACATGTATGAAGGAGGTATTGGAGGAAACAGAGGTGGCCTCAGAATCCCATACCTTTCCAGATACAACTGCTCATCCAACCTATAGAAAACCACACTAAATAAATTAGTTAAAAAGAATGCAGTAATATTCAGGATTACTATGTATTGTATATATGTTATTTTCACATCATAAACTTGAAGCTGATGTAACTGAAATCTGTAATGAAACACAACAACGATATACTGTAAAGCATATTAAGTTACTGGTTTAAAATACAAGATTAATACTACTATTCTTAACAACTTATGTTTCAATTTAGGTAACATTAACCAGTTTAAATTATTCTTCTTTGTTCATTTGTTGTCTGCATGTTTGTACTCTTCTTGTTTTGTATTCATGCTGACTCTGTAACTGGCCCCTGGCTGTTGAATTCAGTATGTAAACTGATCAACAAACAAACAATCAAAGAACAATTGTTTTTATTATTACAATAACAAAGACATTTCTGCTCAGAACAAACAGAACTTTTCTGCGTTCAGTTCCTTACCCTTTTATTATAATGAGGTTTGTAAATCGACAGATACTGTTATATATTTATATTTAACAACTTCAATTGATTCTGCTGTTTTCTTATTTTCACCTTTGCTGTTGTTTTGCATTCATGAAAACTCTGTAACTGGCCCTTGGATGTCGAGTTCAGCACATATACGAGGGTCGATCAATAAGTACCCGTGTTTGAAGACAGGTGGCGTTGCTGAGGGAAGTTGGCTTTACCGTCGTGTACTAGCATCTGTGAA